TGTGTGATCACACAGAATCACCCCCGCCCCAGCCTCTGCCTGGATTATTTTTATAGCAGCCAGTCTCCATTTGTATGAGCCCCGGGACTGGAGACCTCACCACTTCCTGACACAGCACCTGAGAACTGAGTCCTAAACATTAGAAGAAGATTTCTCCAAACTTCAGTCATCAGCTTACCTCCTTCCTGAGAACCACTGTCAGATTTTACTTAGTTTTTGCCATTAAATAAATCCACTCTCTAAGAGAAATACATGTATTTCAAGAAGAAATCTCCTAGCTCCCCGGGAATGGAAAATCAGCATGACCTGCCACATGGATTGATTGTGAAAATTAACAGCCACCCCCACTTAAAAAGCCATGGTTCACTAGTTCTGGTTCAATGTTGTTGTCCTCCAAAGGGCTGTGTGGAGACCTGCTCTGTCTGGTTAAAGAAGGAAAACTAGAATTGAAGAAGCATCTTCCCCCTGATGGAATCCCTGATGGAATCCACGCTTTCACTGCAGCACCCAGGTTCCGTCCCTGGTTAGGGAACTAGACCCTGCAAGCATGTGTCATGACCACACACACACACACACACACACACACAAAGCAGAATGTGACATGGCCATAAAATGGAACACTACTCAGCAATGAAAAAGGAACAAGAGGAACACCTACTACATGCACATCATGGATGATTCACAAAACCTTACGCTGAGTCAAAGAAGCCAGACACAAAGAGTGCATACTGCCTGTGATGTTGTGCCTAATAAAAAGAAATATAGCTTTAAAAAAAAAAAAAGAAGGAAAATTACAGCCAGAGAGGCATCTTCCCCTTGATGGAATCAGAAGACCCGAATGACAACTGAAAAGAGACCCACCTTGTCACCGAGTGACTTCCCTGGTGGCTCAGATGGTGAAGAATCTGTCTGTAAGGCAGGAGACTCGGGTTCCATCCCCGGATTGGGAAAATCCCCTGGAGAAGGGAACGGCAACACACTCCAGTATTCAAGCCTGGAGAATTCCTGCCACATAAAGGAGGCTGGCAGGCTACAGTCCATGGGGTCACAAAGAGTCAGACACCACTGAGAGACCAACACACTGCACGATGTGGTACTGGCANCCTGGAGAATTCCTGCCACATAAAGGAGGCTGGCAGGCTACAGTCCATGGGGTCACAAAGAGTCAGACACCACTGAGAGACCAACACACTGCACGATGTGGTACTGGCAGCGCCAGGGTCCTGCAGAAAACAGCCCTGTGGAGGGCTCTGCCTTCCACGGTGTCCAGTTCTCGCAGGTGGCCCCCACGTGCCCTTCATTCCTCCCCGCCATCCCCACGCCTACTCAGCGGGGCCCAGCCCAGCCCGGAACCTTGGGTGGGCCCTTGCTTAAACCCAGGAGCCCGGCCCCCTGCAACCTGCTCTAGACCTATAGGAATCCCACCAGTGGAGGTTTCTTAGGAGCCAGAAACTAGGACAGGGCTGGGAACGGAATTAAAACTCGGGGAAGCAGAGAAACTTCATCCAGTGCTGCTGGGAGTGTAAAATGCTGCAGCCACGGTGGGAAAGTCTAGCTGGTCCTCAAACAATTAAACACAGAGTTACCACGTGTGCATGTGCTCAGTCACGTCCGAGTCTTTATGACCCCATGGACTGCAGCCCGCCAGGCTCCTCTGTCCACGGGANGGAGTGGGTTGCCATTTCCTCTTCCAGAGGATTTTCCTGACCCAGGGATCAAACCCAAGTCTCTCACATCTCCTGCATCGGCAGGCAGATTCTTTACCACTGAGCCACCAGGGAAGCCCCTTCAATGTGTATTATACTATAAACGGAAAGTCAATATCACTTGCCAAGTGACTGACATTTTAGTAATACATGAAAAAAAAAAGAGCGTATTACAGTTTGTAACATTGCCTGTATGCTACAGAAAGCATCTCCAAATGCCTGTGGGCGTGCAGACCGCACTCTGGGAGGGCCGATGATTAAGCCTCTTTCGGGCTCTGGCCTAGAAGAATGTGACCCCATGTCATGCTGACATGGGGATGCTGACTGTGCCACTTGGGCCTGAACCAACTGCAGCGGGTGGGGAGGGGAGCAGCTGCCCTCAGCCCTTCTCCACGCCGCCCGTCTCCACCCCCGCAGCCTCCTGCCCGCTTCTCATCCAAGGCAGGGGGCCTCCCTTCTGCCACTCTTCCGGGGGATGGGCTGAAGAGCAGGAAAACCAGGGACTCCTGGGGGGACGCCCTCCCTCGGCTAGTCACACAACAGAGACTTTTAGCACCTACTGCAACCCGCCCAGGTGGGCTCAGCGGTAAAGAACCTGCCCGCCAGTGCAGGAGACACAAGAGGTGTGGGTTCGATCCCTGAGTGGGGAAGATCCCCTGGGAGAGGAAATGGCAACCCACTCCAGTATTCTTGACTGGAGGATCCCACGGACAGAGGACCCTGGCGGGCTACAGCTCAGAAGCTCGCAGAGCATCAGGTACAACTCAGCACGCACTGCACACTTCGCTCTGTGCTAGAGAGTGCTGGAGAAAGCCCGGGGAGCTCAACAGATCTGGGCTCTCAAACGAAGGCCGTCGGAAGTAATGGAAGTGATCACCGCTTAGAAAGAGGACTCCTTCTCCATTCCACACACACATCTGAAACACAGGAATCAAGATGGCTTTGCCCAGGGCAGGGGTGGAGGTGAGTTCTGTTCTCTGTGACCAGGCTGTTAAAAGCAAAGGACCCTCATGTGGTCCAGGACCCTCAGGACTGAGAAAGCTGACTTGAGAGGAAGAACACAGGCCTCTAAGACATCCATCAGCACACTGGCAGCAAAGATACTTTCTTGGCCCAAAGGACCAGGGTTTTTTCAAGAGGACTCAGATGTCTGTTAAAAAGAGGGATGTGATGGGACCCAACCAACCATCCAATGGAACAGTGTCTGCAGAGTCCGAGAGTTTGTTGGAGTTTAGTTGTTAAGTCAAGTCCGACTCTTCGTGACTTCTATAGATTGTAGCCCACCAGGCTTCTCTGTCCATGGGATTTCCCAGGCAAGAATACTGGAATGGGTTACCATTTCCTTCTCCAGGGGATCTTCTGGACCCAGAGATTGAACCCGCCTCTTCTGCATTCCTTACCCCTGAGCCACCTGAGAAGCCCCCAGGGCCTACAAGACTGGGATTCAAATCCTAACTCAAAATTCTTAAGACTCTGTTTCTTCATCCATAGGGCAGAGATGATGATTCTCCTAACCCCAGAGGGTTGTTATTCATTACAAATGAGACAGAGGCTGTAAAGCTATGGCCCAAACTGCTTTGCACCCTATAAATGCTATGGCAAATTATTGCTGTTAACACTGGCGAAGTGTAAGTCATTTTCTCCTATTCTCAAACACCAACCTACAGCACAGTTCCAGACCCTTTATGTGTCTCTTTGAATTCTAGTCAAAGCCCCAGACTCCCACTCCTAATGGTCTCCTGGATACCTTTCCAGGGATCTCATAACAGCCCTGTTGAGTGTGCGTGCTCAGTCATGTCCCACTGTTTGCGAACCCATGGACTGTAGCCCACCAGGCTCCTCTGTCCATGGGATTCTCCAGGCAAGAATACTGGAGTGGGTTGCCATTTCCCACGCCAGAGGATCTTCCCAACCCAGGGATCAAACCTGAGTCTCTTTCATCTCCTGCATTGCAGGTGGATTCTTAACACACCCTAAATGGACCACATTACCCCCTCCCCAAACTACCACTTGTCTGTTGACAGCATCCAGACAGAAAACCATGACGGCCAGGAGAGGTACACAAAGGGATGTTTCAAGGGGCCTGCTCCCTGGAGGCTGAACGGCACAGGTCCTGGTTACGCCACCATTGGATTGCCCCCACCTAGGCTGTCTACCATCGCCCCCCATCTCCTAAAGCTCCCCACTCCAAAGCTGCAAAACTCGCACTGCTTCCCGAATTCAGGGAGGACTTTTTCATTATTCCTGAACTTCACGTACACACATTAGGGCTTCCTAGGTGGCTCAGAGAGTAAAGAATCCACCTGCAATTCAGGAGGTGATTCCTGGGTCAAGAAGATCCCCTCGAGAAGGAAATGGCAACCCACTCCAGGACTCTTGCCTGGGAAATCCCACGGACAGAGAAGCCCGGCGGGCTACGGTCCACGGGGTCGAAAAAGAGTCAGACATGACTTAGCAACCGCACTGCCACCACCACTACCACACTTATGTAACTCTTGAATGTATTTTCTCGGAAACAAACAAGACTGCAGGCCCACAGTCCATTCCTTCCTCTCCCTGTCTGCACGGGCAGCCACACTGATTGATTCTGATATGTCCTTCCAGTCACTTTCCTTGCATACGTGTAACACGTATGAGGCCATAGGAATACTGTTCCTTTCTGTTTGCTTTTGTGTATATATTTATGTATATTTTATGTATATTATGTGTATTTTCCCATAAATTGCTTTGTTACTTATCAACCTTTCTGTATTGGTACACAGAGATGGACGTCCAAGTTTTTTCCTCCAAGATTTAAATTTTTAGACAATTTTGATTGAGAATATAATTGATGAACAATATGTGAGTTTCAGGTGTGGTACATTGTGATTTGACATTTGCACACATTATGAAATAGCCATCATGATCAGTCTAATAGTTAAATACATTATATCCCCGTGGCTTATTTACTTAATAGCTGGAGGTTTGTACCTCTTAATCCCCTCCACCTGTTTTACCCCTCCCACCCACACCCCCCCCCTTGAATCTTGTCTTTTTTTAATTTTAATTTCTATGCTTTTTGGCCACTCTGCGTGTGGGATCTTAGTTCCCTAACCAGGGACAAAATCCTATATTGGGAGTGCAAGTCTTAACCACTGCACTGCCAAGGGAATTTTGCTTTGACCCTGAATTTTGCTCTTTTTAACTTCTGTAAAGTGTTAGTCACTCAGTCTTGAGAGCTTGTTTGGAGGTTCTAACAGGGGAGCGCAGTTACTTGTATACCCTTGACCGAAGACCGGTCCTCCTCTATCGGGGATGGTCGCCCTCTTCGACCAAGTGCGCAGCTTCAGGAGGGACGCACATGGAGCGGTGAGGGAGGAAGGGGACACCCGCCTAGCCAGCCAGATCAGCCGAATCACCCCTGGCGATCAATGGGGTGACAGATGTCGCAACCAGATCGCCCTCACATCCTAGTCGCTCAGTCTTATCTGACTCTGTGACCCCCATGGATGGTAGCCTGCCAAGCTCCTCTATCCCTGGAATTCTCCAGGCAAGAATACTGGAGTGAGTTGCCATGCCCTCCTCCAGGGGATCTTTCAGACCCAGGTTGACTCTGCTCCTGGCACGTACATCCTTGTACCCACCATCTTCTTCGTGGGACAGAAACCTCCTTTGAAGAGAGGGAAATCCCCCTTTGCCTACACGGCTCACTGCCCAGAGTCACGTGATCACAGCCATCGGGATGAAAGTGGGCAAGCCAGACTCTCCCTCAGCTTTCCTTTGGTTCAAGCAAACCACAAACACCTTCAGCCACTTCCTCGAACATCAATATTCCAACTCTCTCAATCCCCGGAACAACCATCCAAGGCATCGGGGTGGGGGGGGGCATGATGACCCTCATCAAAGATGCAGAGACTCCTTTGGAAGTTGAGTGGCACATCAGGTCTGAAGCTGAACGTTGGGGCCTCTTTGCAAAAGAGGAGCTTAGGCGGAGCTCACAGGTATTTCAGGATTGTTGTCAAAAGGATGAACATCTCGGGAGAAGGAAATGGCAACGCACTCCAATATTCTTGCCTGGAAAATCTCATGGATGGAGGAGCCTGACAGGCTATAGCCCATGGGGCTGCAAAGGGTCGGACAGGACTGAGTGACTAACACTTACACTTATGCCATCTCCCCAAAGGCAGTCCCTTTTGCACTAAGATTTTTACCAAACCCAAGGATCATCATTGCTTATTAATGACACCTTTCCATTATTTAAAAAAAAAATGCTTTAGAGTTTAAAACATCAACTTCAGTGTTTCACCCTATGCAGTAGTGAAACTATGGATTTGTGTTCTATTTGTGTTTTTTTTCCCCCCAAATATCAATGGAGAAAAAGACATTATTATCTTTTTTTTTTTTTTGGTTTCACATTCAGCTATGAACTTTTAAAAATGATCTTGTTACCACCAGTGATAACACGCTTTGGGAAACATTCATTAGAATAAGATAAAGGAGACTTGGGTTACATGCATTCATTGCAAAAATTGTTAACTAACTTCATTTTAAGGAAAGAAAGCTCTCCAGAGAAGTCTGTGATCAAAAGCATCAGAAAGGGAAACCTTCAAAGTGACTTCTCTATTGGACAAACTTAGTGATCTTAGGCTTACAAGCAGTTTGCACTGGGAGACTTAACCAGTCCCTCTCTGCATCCTGCAGGGTGAGAGATGTTTCACATCCAAATTTCTCAGCTCAATTTTGGCACCAAATATCCAAATATCTAGAGCTTATATCCCTCAGCTCTAGATCCAGGAGTGCTAGGAAGCTTCTAGAAGCTGATGTTATCTAACCTGTCCAAGGGGGGCAGGAAGTTGGAGAATCTCTTCACCTTCAATCCCTTTCTAGATCAACTGAAGCCTGGCTTCCCAAAAAGGTGAGAGTCCTGGGAATTTGACTATTCAGGTCAACAACTCCTTGTTAAGCCCTGGAGACACCATGTGAACAAACCGTGTCCTCAGACGGGAAGACGGTTTCTCTGCAGCCCCCAAGTCTTCCTACTTCCTGCCTGAGGATGGATGATATTCCCAGAGCCCAGCAGCTGTGGCTGGGAGTGACCCAAGGCCAGTGGGAAGTGACCCACTGCCTGAGCATGGCTCTTGGCCCACCTTTCACTGATCAGCACATGAGCGTGGAAACTCAACATCCTGGATGGATGACACATGTCATAAGGGTCCCTGGGACCTGGGGGACCATAAGGGGACCTGGCCTAGGAGCCCACTGGCAACTCCCAGTCATCCAGCTCCTTGGCAGTAAGTCCCCAGACCCAGTTCTAGTCCAGGTCCTGCTGCCAACCTGCTGAGTGACCTCGAGTGAATCACTCCACCTCTCTGAGCATCCCTAGCAGTTACACTGGGGCTTTTTAAGGCCCTTTGTTGTTGTTCAGTCACCAAGTCATGTTCGACTCTCTGTGACCCCACGGACCCCAAGCACGCCAGGCTTCCCTGTCCTTCACTATCTCCCGGAGCTTGCTCAAACTCATGTCCATCGAGTCAGTGATGCCATCCAACCATCTCATCCTCTGTCAGCCCTTCTCCTTTTGCCTTCAATCTTTCCCAGCATAAATCGGCTCTTTGCATCAGGTGGCCAAAGTAATGGAGCTTCAACTTTAGCATCAGCCCTTCCAATGAATATCCAGGGTTGATTTCCTTTAGGATTGACTGGTTCGATGTCCTTGCAGTCTAAGGGACTCTCCAGCATGTTCTCCAGCACCACAGCTTGAAAGCATCAGTTCTTTGGCACTCAGCCTTCTTTACGGTCCAACTCTCATATCCATACTAAGGCCCTTATGCCCCTAAAAGACTGATCTTAGCCCACGGAGGCACAGGGCGCTCTCACCCCTCCCAGCCTCTGCCCAGGGCTTAGGCGCCTGGAAGAGCCCCAGTGACGAGCTGGGACAGCGAGTGCTTCTGTGGTTGTCCAGTCACAGGCCGGTGCTCTCAGTGGGTGGCAGCTCTGCCTTGGGTATTTTTAGACTGCCCCCCTCGGCCTGTCCCTAACAAGAGCCAGACGCATCTGACAATCCCCAGCCACGGACGGGTCCTGCCAAAACTGCACTTTGGGGTCGCTCCTGCAGGGAGCTGGGCTCCATCACTCCTGGGGTGAGAAGGAGCGCCTCTCTTCCCAGTACCCCCACCCCACCCCCCTTCTTCCCTGGATGAGATGACGCCAACATCCAAGGGTCAGGTCCCAGTTCTATCTAAGGTGCCAGCTGCCCTGGTTCCCCATTCCAGCTGTTGCTGCCAATCGCCCAGTAAGAGGTCCCTGGAGCCCACCCCCCTGTCCTGGAGTCCTGCTGTCAGCCTTCAACGGCCTCTCCTGGAAGGACCCTGCTCTCCTCTTTGGGGGGATGGTTGTCACTACCCTGTGACTGAAGAACCCACCTCTGCGCCACTTTAGCCTCTGACGCCAGGGTCAGAGGCCTCATTTGCCCACAAAGCTGGGTAGCAGCCACATATTGCAACACACACATACACACACACACCCCAATCTGCCTTCCCCAGGACAGTCAGCTGGACTCCTGCCTTCCAAACAAATCCCACCGAGCAGCCAGCAATCCACCACCACCCCATCTGGCCTGGAAAGGCATTCCTGTGTTTTTGTCTCAACAGACTTCCCTTCCTGGTCACGTCTGACAGAGTTCAGTGTGACAAAGAGCCAGCCTCCGCTGTGCCCCTGTCAACCAGGGAGGCCCCAGACGGCAGGGGAGTAAGTGCAGGCCTGGGATGAGACATGGGCCAGTTGAGCCTTCCTGGGAATCACCCGTGGCTGGAAAATCGAGAGTCTGTGCACACACACACACACACACACACACACACATGCATGTGCTTTCAGCTCCCGCCCTGAAGATAATATACACAAGGCAGAGAGAGAAAATCTAGGTGAAACATTCACTTCCATTCTATAAACAAAGGGCCTCAGACAAGACTTGTGTGTGCAGGGGAGTGGCAGGGAGGACAGGATGGTTGTGCCCTGGATCCACGACTAGCTGCCACGGACCTCTGTCAGCCCCTCTTGTGTGCTGTGTATGCTCAGCCGTGTCCAACTCTGTGACCCCATGGACTCCGGGAGTCCATCGGGCTCCTTTGGCCATGGGATTGTCCGAGCAAGAATACTGGAGTGGGTTGCCATGTCCTCCTCCAGGGGATCCTCCCGACCCAGGGATCAAACCCGCACCCCCTATGTCTCCTGCATTAGTAGGTGGATTCTTAAGCACTGTACCACCTGGGAAGCCCCTCATAAACTGTGCCCTAATCTGGGGCCTGGAAGGCAGAAGAGGCTCGGCCCCGTCCCTCTGGGTGGGGAAGCGCAGTATCAGTGCCCACCGGCCTGGTCCTGCCCTCACCCACCCGCTGGGCCCCCTCTGTGGCTTCCAACGCAGTCACCTTTGGAGCCAGATTTCGGGTGAATCTCAACTTCCCCACTGGAAGGACAGAGGCAGCTACAGGCTATGTGGCCCAGTCCCTGCCTCCCACTCCCCAATTCCCAGTGAGGGTGGAGGACGCTGATCCAAAAACCCTAGGTGGGGAAACAGGTTCTGCACCCTCCTGCCACCCCCACGCCCTCCCTCTGCCTCAGGCTTGGCATCTGCCAAGGCCCCCGTGGGCATCGGGGCCCTGATTTCCCCAGAATGGTCTTCCCCCTGCCTCTCCAAGTCCCCCCATGGCATCTCCAGGTGGCACTATGAACAGGGATTAGGGAAAACAGGCGGAGATCCAGAGTGTGGCTCTTGGCACCTACTAGCTCAAGGACCTTGAGAAACTGACTTAAGGTCTCTGGCCTGGCTCTTCCCACCTGCAGCCTGGGAGCGTGGAGGGGCTGGTGCATGGTGGTGGGGTGGTGGGGGGTGGCTTCCAGGAGTGCTGGAGGGTGCCATGCCCTGCAGAGACTCCATCAGCTTCGGTTCCCTTCCTCGTCCCTTCCAGACTCCTGGGGAAACCTGGCTCCAGTCCCTTCCTCACCCTCCTTCCACTTCCTTATACTGAGGCCACATTCTTGGGAGAGGTGGCCAGCAATCGTGACTGGCCTCCCAGATTTCTAGCTGATTCAGACTGAAGCACAGAAGTGGCTGCAGACCCGGTTTAACTGTGGCAGGATATACAAAACATAACATTAATCATTTTCACTACTTTTAAGTGTAGAATTCAGTGCCATTAAATACATTTACCGTGTCATAGAACCGTCACCACTGTCTATACCCCAAATCTCTGCATCCTCCCCAACTCTGTACCCATTAAACAAGGACTCCCCATCCCTCTCCCCTGGCCCAGCTAACCACTACTCTGCTTTCTGTCCCTATGAACTCGCCTATTCTAGGTGTCTCTGATCAGTGAAGGCATAAAATACTGGGGCCACTGGCTTCTCAAGACCCTCGCCAAGCCCCTTACCTTACTCCTCACTCTGCTGGTCACCTGTTACCAGGTCCCTGCATTTTAGATACAGCTAAGTTCAAAGATCACCCCCAGCACTTCACATGCACCGCTTTGGAGCCTGGGAGGGGGCACTGACCGTTTTCCCAAACCTGAAACTGGGCTGTCATTCTTGTTCCAAAGTCAGAGGTGGGTTCGGTGGCCTGGAGGGAGGGGCTTTGCAATGTGGGGTCTCCCGCAGATACAGGTGCCCCCACCTAACCCTCATTCTTGAGGTTCCCGTGTCAGCCCCCAAACAGGGCCTCCCTGGGGTGGATTTGGTGGTGGTGGTTTAGTCGCTCAGTCGTGTCCGACTCTTGCGACCCCGTGGACTGTAGCCTGCCAGGCTCCTCTGTCCATGGGGTTCTCCAGGCAAGAATACTGGAGTGGGTTGCCATTTCCTTCTCCAGGGAATCTTCCCAACCCAGGAATCACACCCAGGTCTCCTGCATTGCGGGTAGATTCTTTACCGGTGGGTTTAGGACCCTGGGTTTGAGGAGAGTGTATAGGCTTTCCATACAGGAACGCTAGCCTCCCCTCGCTCTGGACCGATGGGTGGGGCCCTCCAAGCTCCTCCCCGGTCCAAACGCAGGGGAGAGGGGACGGAGGCGTCACCCAAGCCCCTCCACCGCCCCAGACAGAAGTCAGCAGCTTCTCGCCGCTGGGGGGCGCAACGGAGCCGCCGCCGTCGCCGGGGGCCGAGAGGGACCCACCTACCCCGCCTGCGCGCAGCAGGTCCCGCGCGCTCCCACTAGTCGGGGGACCCGCGCCAAGGCGCCGGGGACTCTCACACGACGAGAGGGAGACGGCCCGGGACTCCCAGAGCCCTGGGAGTAGCGTTGACGGGGGCGAAGGGAGTCGCCCTGACTCCTCCCCAAACTTTTCCCGCCCGCCTCGGCGCGAAAGGCGAAGGAAGCAGTCCGGGGGTGGGGAGGTGGAATCCGGGATCCAGGGCGGGCCGGGGGCAGGCGGGAAGTCGGCCCCGGTGCGATCTGGCGGAGGAACAGTGGATTTTCCGCAGGGAGGGGGCCTCTCCCTGCCCCCCCCCCCCCAGCCCCAATCGCAAGGATCTCCCTGCGTCGGGTACTTGCAGGGGCTCACGCCCCCCGCTGTCCCGGCTCTCGCTGCCCGGAGCCCCCCGCCCCGACCTGCGCGCGGCTCCCAGGCGCGCCCCCGACTCACCGGACGCGGGTGGCTGGACCGACCGACGGGCTGGGGCGCGAGGCGAGGCCGCCGGGCTGTTTTGAAGCTCTGGGTTGGGACTGCGCGCTCTCCCTCCTCCCTCTCGCTGGCGCCGAGCCTCCTCCCTCCGTCCCCCTCCTTTCCCGACACCGCCTCCCGGGGCGTGATGTCAGGAGCCCGGAGAGCCGACGGGGAGGGACCGCGGGAGGCGGGTGGGGGACCCGGGAGGGGAAGGCCGGAGCCCGGGGAGCGCCCCCAGCCCCAGCCCGCCCCCCTGCGCTCCTTTGGGCAACTTTGGGGCAGAGCTGGTAGCCCGGTGCGGGGGGAGGAAGGAGGCAGTGGGCGCTCGAAGGCTCTCTGCGCTGCGTTCGCCCGTCTCCCTCCACCCCTGCGCGTCTTCTCCCCGTTCTCTCCCCCCTCCCGTAAGGCTTAAGCACGAGCGTTCGGGAATCGACTCCCTACTTTAGCACCCCTTCCCTGGCCTTTTTCTCAATGCAGTGAGCTTTTCTTTCATCTTTCCTGCCTCAGTTTCCCCTTCTGGAAATGAAGTCACAGTAGAACCGCTTTCCTTAGGTTACTGTAAGCCCGGAAAGGGTCATACCTGAGGGTGCCTGGTACATAGTTAATCTAAACTCAATCAATCTAAACTCAGTTAATCTAAGCTCAGTTAATCTAAGCTCGATCAATCTAAACTGAGTTAATCTAAGCTATAGGCTTCCCTGATGGCTCAGTTGATAAAGAACCTGCCTACAAGGTAGGAGACCTGGGTTCGATCCCTGGGTGGGGAAGATCCCCTGCAGAAGGAAATGGCAACCCACTCCAGTAATCTTGCCTGGGAAATCCCATGGACAGAGGAGCCCAGCGGGCTACAGTCCCTGGGATCGAAAGAGTGGGACACGACTTAGTGACTAAACCACCACCAATCTGAGCTATGGTTGTTTTTATTTTCTGACAGAGTCCCTGACCTTGGTGGGAAGTGGCTGGGCAACCAGAGACCCCATCTTAGGACTCCCCCAGAGTCTGCCTCACACAAACCACCACACATGTTTTGAAACCACAGTCCTGGAATTTATTGTCCCTGGAAATGACACCAAAAGACAAACTTCTTTCCACCTTCAGTTTCCTCATTTGGGACTGAGAGGGTTAATCTGCCCTGGAGGCTCTTGTGGGATAAAGGAAAAGGTCAGAGGGGCCTGACTCCCATCTGTGGGGGGTGAGCTGTGGTGGGGAGGGAGGATTTACTGTTGAAAAAGTTGAAGAAATTCCAAAACAGGACCACAACAATATTGCAGTACATTTTTAAGCTTTTAATTGAACAGGTTAATGTTACTGTCACACACCCCAAAATATAAGGCAATGGACTTGTGCCAATAACAAAAGAATTAGAAACTCTTTTAAGAAATGCTAACTTATTGTGTGATAATTGGTCTGGCTGGGAAACCATGCTTAATTAAATTTTCTGAAGTGTTTTTTTTTTTTTTTTGGCTGCGGTCGGTCTTCATTGCCTCATCCAGACTTTCTCTATGCAATGTGTGGGCTCAGTAGTTGCAGAACACAGGCTTAGTTGCCCCGAGGCATGTGAGGTCTTAGTTGCCCCACCAGGGATCCAACTGGTGTACCCTGCATCGTAAGGCAGATTCTTAACCACTGGACCACTGGGGAAGTCCCGTGTTGAGTCTTTCTTCAATCCTGATGGGAAACTGTGCAAGGGGAAAGCCTCCTTGGGTCTAGATTAGAGATCCTTAGGCAATTTGAAGCAGCCTTCAAAGGGCCACTTCAAGCCGCATCTTGAGGTTCCCCAGCAGGACAAGTGTCTGACATCCCACATTTGGTTTCGTTTTGAAATTCTATGACTAATCAAGACTTTCATCTCCCAAGCAAGAGATTCTTTGTGGGGCTGGCAAGGGGCCAGGAAGGTGTCCATGTGAACTGAGGTCCCACATAAAAGGGGAGAAGAGGAGGTCTGGCTGCTGCAGAGGGGGTCTGTGCAGGGCCCCCCACCAGCAGGAACAGTGATGCCTGCCTGTCCCGTGGCCATCTGGGAGACAGAAAAACCCAAAGGCTCTCCCAGAATCGACAGTCCAGGTAGACGCTGGAGAGGTGTGTTTCTGCTGTCTGCTGAGCCCTCACGCTGTGCTACGAACTCTGTCATGAACATGACACAACAGCCCATAAAGAAACTGAGGTTCAGAAGAGCTACCTAAGTAACTCACCCAAAGGCCCTATCCGAGAGATGGAGTGTGAATTTGAACCCACTCTGACTGCTGCAAGCCTCACTTTCCTCCTCCCACTATATCACTACTTACAAAACATGCACCATGATTTCCGCCATATCCACAGACCAGCTGAACCAGTATTCACCTAATATTTTTCTTTCAATCAATTCTGTTTATCTAACTATGTTTATTTTAAAAAAGGAAGCCCTATATCGTATGGTAAACAGGAAACCAATGCCCAGCTACTGAAAATAGAAGACAAACTTGCAAATATAAACACTACCCAGAGAAAACAGTGTTAGTACCTTCAAACCAGATACTGTTGCCCGAAAGAGTCTATGAGCCTGAGGTTTAGGATCTGTTAAAAAGGGAGATCAGCAAGTGTAAGACAGGCGGTAGAGTCAAGCTAGCTCAGGAGACTTTGTCTTGTCATCAGAACTACCGCAAGATCATTGGCAAAGGGGATATGTTCTCACTCCCTGACTCAAAGTTGGACAATGCCTCCTCCTCCTGTCACCAAAAAACACCTCTCGTTTGCCTGCCCGCGGGGCATGCCCATGCAGGGAAGAACCTGGCCAGACACCAAGATGCTTCTCTAGGACCAGAGAAAGGAATGATGGTCTGCATCTCTCACTTGTTTCCAAACCTTCTCCAGAGCCCCATCTGCCTGAGCAATTTACCTGCTGCTTGCACCTCTTAATTTCTTCTCTCTTTAAATATACACCTGGGGACTTCCCTGGCGGTCCAGTGGTTAAGAATCCACCTTCCAATGCGGGGCACGCCGGTTGGATGCCCGGTTGGGGAACTAAGATCCCACATGCCGTGAGGCAACTCAGCCTGCACGCACAACTAGAGAATAGAGAAGCCCACGCTCTGCAACAAAGAGCCCGCAGGCTGCAATGAAGACCCAGCACCGCCAAAATAATATGAAAAAGTAAATATTAAATACACACCTGTCTCTCCAGGAAAAGCGGAGGCCAAAACCTGTTATACCCACTGTATCCTCATTCCTGGTGTTTCAGTAGTAAGTTTGAAACTTCAGCATGGTGTTGGGGGGGGGAGTAAGAGTGTGTTTGATTGGGTCCTGGGTCCCAATTCTTCACCCCACTATGGAGCAGTGTATCCACACTGCAGCTGTAATCTCCTGGCTAGTAGATCGTACTAACCCCTTGGCCTTGAGTTAAGCCACGTGACCGGCCCTGGCCACTGAGATATTAGCAGACCCAACACAAGCAAAGGCTGGGAACGTGTTTGAGCGGTAGGGCTTGCTCTCCTGTGCTTTTGCCATTTGCTTGAGCAGAATAAACCTCCAGTAGTCCATTGGCCCCAGAAAAAATGTACATGGGAGCAGAGGCTCCCCACATGACCTGCAGAACTTCCATGTGGGATGCAGAAATGCTCCAGCCAAGCTGCGGACGTGTGAATGAGAAATGATGTCTGTTCTTGCACGTCACCGGGGCATCACGGTTGTCAGTTTCCCAGCTGTAGCCGGTTGATAAAAGGATCATCTCGTGTTGGGAGAGAGAAATGTAAGGAAGGTATCTGAAGGCATGAAAGAACATGGAGAAGTCTAGGGCATTGGCTCAGGGGTGGAGATAGAAAGTAGTTGAAAACTTAGTGACCTCTTGCGTGTCTTTTCTGGCTCGAGTGTTTTCAGGTTCTGCTACCCATTTTTAAAATATTGATTTATTTACTTTTATTTATTTGGCGGTGCTGGGTCTTAGTTGCAGCATGCAAACTCTTTAGTTGTAGCATGTGGGATCTAGTTCCCTGACCAGGGATCGAACCTGCATCCCCTGCATTGGGAGCATGGAGTGTTACCCACTGAACCACCAGCGATGTGCAAAGTATTGATATATCTTGGTCATAATATATGTCTGTTCTGGTTTGATTTTGACCTTGAATCCATATCATCTTTACTTCCAGAGGCAGGCGGATGGAACAGCCTCTGTATGGACCGTTGCTGGTCTCAGGGAATTGGGAAGAAAAGATGATGAACCACTCACTGGCTATTAAAAGCTTCTACATGCTCACATTTCATTGGCAAAGCAAGTCATGAAGCCAAACAGCAAAAACGTCTCCCACTAGCTGTGCTGGCAAGTCACTCACCCCTCAGGGTCCAACTCTATCTTTGCATTTGGCTTACAGTGCTAAATGCTTCGCAGTGTAGGAATATAACAGGCACATCCAAAGGCCTAGCAAGCAACATTTTCTCTTGGCTCCTCTTCCAGATATGGAGTAGGATCCTGCAAACCAAATCCTGCCATCAGCACTTCTAGACGGGGCTTGGTTGCCTGCCCTTCTTGCCACAGAGAGACATCTGGGAAAAGCCCTTTCGTGCCTGCTGTCTAGAGATTCAGGAAGTCTGAATTCCCAGAGTATGCAGCTGAGAAATACACTCTCTGGAGACCATTTCCTCCCTGTCGCCCACCTCCACAGACAGTGTCGTGGACAGGATGGAGACAATGGTTTCCAGCAGAGAAACAAGCTCTCATGTCCTCCCACTTAAACCTTGGAGCTCTGGGTCCCACCCCTTCTCTTTATCATCAAATTTCCTGCCAGCGCAAGAAGAATTCACAAGACAAATACTGTCCGTTTGACTGATGGCTGATCACCAAAGACAAGAGCCAAAGAATCTCCAAACCCCTGGAAATGTTACCAATGCATGATGTTGGGCTTCCCAGGTGGCCCAGTGTAAAGAATCTGCCTGCCAATGCCGGAGGCACAGGTTCGATCCCTGGGTGGGGAAGATCTCCTGGAGCAGGAAATAGCCTCACACTCCAGTATTCTTGCCTGGAAAATTCCATGGACGGAGGAGCCTGGCGGGCTACTGTCCATTTGGTCTCAAAGGGTTGGATACAACTTAGCGACTGAGCACACCCATGCCGTTTGGGACTTTCACATCTTTCTTTTTTCCACCATGTAATGAACACAAATGTACTGTGAGCAGAACCTGAGGGTTGAGTCTGAGTTTATCCCATTAAGGAAATGTTTGGTACTGACACCCAAAAACATCTGGCTGCCTGACTGCACTTCTAAGTTTGCATCAGGAGTCTTGGCACCACAGGGAGGGAGCTTCAGACTGCTCCCAGGTTTGAATTTGCCTGAAATACAGTCAGAAAGAGTAACAGGAAGTGTGGGAGTGTGCCCCCACCACCCATGCCTTCACCACCCAAGCGTCTGGAGTCCAGGATGGCCCAGGGGATGATGTTCTGGG